AAAAAAAATAAAAAAATTGAAGAGCTCAAAATAAAATAAATAATATACGCTGAACACAATTTAAACTGTAGAATTAAGAATAAAATGAGGAGTGGAGCAATACGGCCCAAACACATCTTGCCACCAGGGGTCTATTATTTAACTTTGTCCCACATCATCATTACATCATTGCTTTTGTTTGAATAAAACGGTGTTGTGTCTAACATGCATCTTTAAAAATCATACATAATCAACTAAATTAAAGTAACACCAAGAGATACACTATAAAGACACACTATAATCCCAAATGGCACTTTGCTTATACCCCTAACCCCCTGGTCTATGCCATGGATCAAAGCTCACTGCTCACACAGACACACTTTCCCCACGGGTACAGTGAAGTTAAAAAAAAAAAAACATCCTAACGAAAGCTCAAATGCACAGACTCAACATGTCGTGGAGGGTGGGGGCCCTCATCACCATCATCATCATCATCATCACTTCAGTGTGCCTGGCCCTTTAAGAAAATGCACTTGCAGCCATTTTCTGCTCTTTGTGTGGGGTGGATTAGCACTGGGTAGGTACTGGGCGAAACTAGAGCATCAATCGGCACAGAAGACGAGGAGAGAGAGGAAAAAAAAAAAAATACCAAAGATCAGCAAACATCGGACCTTCCGTCGCAGACCGCGACACCGTCCGCCCGTCTCTGTATCGCCGGACGGATATGCAATTTACAGGTATGTGGCAAATGTAGCGAAGGATGGAGCCGCAGCGCTACAGATGAACGGGGCCGGTGATGTGCGGTGGGTTATAGTGATGATGGCTGGAGTCTGGAGAGCTGGTTTCTCTCTCTCTCTCTCTCTCTCTCTTTCCTTTCTTCCTCCTCGCCCTGTGCACCATCTCTGTTATTTCATCTCTACAGATAACCGATACAAGGGGCCGATCTCGCCCCTCTCTCGGGAGCCGGCATCGAGGGCGTCCCGGTGGTTTTTTCGCGGATTATTGTGACACATGAATGGGATCCCCGTTAGCTTCCATCGGCGCCGTGGCTCACGCTGAGATGGGTGGGGTGAGGAGAGAGAGAGAGAGGGTGCCTGCTGCTTGTGGCAAGTGCACACGGATGGAAGATGGATAACGGGGAAGGAAGGAAGGAAGGGGGAAAAAAAGAGAGAGAGAGCGATTCTCGATTTTTTATTTCTCGGCGCACGGAGAGAAACGAGACGTCCGCTGTGATGAGGAGAGGGAATTCGGTGCTTCAGATGGCCCGATTCCACTCTTCTTTCATCGTTTATGTGCCCCCCCCACCACCCCTCTCTCCTATATCGCCGCTTTGACCCACCGACCAGCAGGGCACATCGTGTATACGAGAGCAGCAGAGATCCACAGCATTACGGGCGATTTCCCAGCCATCATAGCGCTCACAGGCCTGCTAGTGATGCACGGATGACAGGTTCACCTACTTCCGTTTCACACAAATGCAGAAACACCGCTGTTCGGTTTATTAGATCGATCTCTCCATTCGATCATGATCTACCCACCCGGTATCTTGAGCAGCGTGCGTGGATGTGCTGCTGTTGCAGAGTTGTAAATCTGTATGCCAGCCCCTCACCAAACCAGCAGTGATGTAATGGTGAGGCTGTGGATGCTGCTGCAAATTCTGATTTATGCTACATGGGGGGGGGGAAAAATCACCCCCCAAAAATGATATTCTAGTAGTATTTCTAGTCAGGTTTATTTGATTCATATAGCCCAAGTGCTTTACAATCTGTACAGCATGTGGCGCCCTCTTTCCTTACACCCTCGGTTTGGACATGGAGGAAATAATCCACTGAAAAAACCCTTTGAATGGAGGGGGGGGGGGATTCCTCTTCAGGAACAGGGCAGACATGCAATAGATGTGTCATATGAGAGATAGTATCTTTATTGGTTGCTCCTGGCATTCAATCTTGAGGTGAGACCCCTCTGCGATCTCACTGTAATATCTGATGCCTCAAGATAAACTGATTAGTGGAAAATGAATGGCTTCTAAGTATGTTGGTTATCAGTAAATTAGTTTGAGTCACAAATAGAGCAGACGTGCCAAAGATTCCCCTAGTTCCAGGTTCCCCAATGTGGGGATTTGCTCTGTTTGTCTGTTTTATATCACTGTAGATTGGATGTTTTTATGGGCTTGTGGACTGTTGGTTGGCCAGAACAAGTGTGAACTGTCGAGAGAAGTGAAAGTTCAATCCACCATTTTTTTGGAACATCTGTATATCCTGACCATAAACCTGACCATGAGCAACCAATAGCAGCTGGTTTTACCGTTTCTGCTTAATTTTCAGTTCAGCAAATTGAAAGACAGAAAGAGACCGCATGCAAAATGCCTGTAGACAACAAAAAAAAAATCAACCAACAAAACAAAACACACCCAAGGAAAAGGGAAGTGGCGGTAAACAATGTGGACAAAAACCCCTCGCATTGTCACAAACCCTGACCTAGCCATTAAAGTTGCATCAGTTTGACACTGAAAAGCTATAAAGTCATCTTTATTAAAAACCTAAAAAAAAAGAGTATTCTGTGAATTCAAAGGCTGGTGATTTTACCATCCTCTATCTGAGCTTGGTCATGTGAGCCAGGCTTATGTTGCATATTTATGTGACGGTCATTGTTATTGGTGTAAAAGGAGAGCATGACATCATGGGGATCATGAGACGACAGCAGTTTTGCTTTTGCCGGTCTCTGAAATGACAATCAGCCTGTCAAATACCTCAGCCAGCCAGCCAGTCAGTCAGCCCTCCTGCACACGATGACACACTGTAGACCGCACAGTTTCTGCTGGAACGCACATAGGTGTCTATGTGTGTGTGTGTGTGTGTGTGTGTGTGTTTGTCAGTGAATGTGTTGTAAGTGATCTATGTGCCTATCCAAATGCTCGCAAATCATTTTCCTTTACGCTGATCACATCGCATCTTATTGTGAGGATGAATATATATTACAAAGCTAGCCTTGGGGGGAGATCCCATTGAGTGGTGTGACCCTGCAGTTGACACACTTTCTCTCACTCTCTGTCTTTCTCTCAGCAAAGATGTGTTACACAAAGGCCCAGCAACACATACTGATCATGATTTTCTTCTACAAAAGATACATCATCCTTGTTAATGCTGCTTCTAGCTATTTTTGTAGTTCTCCTGCTCTGTCTCATTCTTCTTTTTAGCTGTAATATTTAAAGCACTTCCTCAAAACCGTTGATTCCTCATGGTTTAGTTCTGTCATGAGGAAATCTGACCCCAGTTCTCGACGTATAGTAGCTTTAGTTAGAATGTCAGGCTGGCCAGGGGGAATTTACTGTGCATATCAATGATGTTCTGTGTTTCATTTTCCCAAGCTTCCAACTATATGGGCTTTCTAAAGAGTTGTCATGTGTGGCCTACAGCTAGGTTACTAAGTGTTCAGAAGGGAATGAAGGGGCCCTTTGCTTTGTAAAGATGCACACACACACACACACACACACACACCAACTGGTGAACAGAGCCGGGTACAGGGTGGGAAAGTTTATTCAGCCAACTGGGGCTTCAGTCTGCGTCTGTACTCCCAAGCACAGATGGGAGTTTAGTAGCACTGAGCATGTTTATCTGCCTGACAGAACCCCTTGTAGCAAGCTGCATGTTTCATTTTCTATAAGCTGAACAGTTAAAAATACCCAGATGAAGTCTGAAGGACGTGTGAATCCAGATTGTGAAGTCAACAGCAGTAGAAAGAATACAGGAAATCACAAGGTTACAGCACGCGGCCTTCTTCGATTTGAACAAATTTCAAATCTGCAGGTCTTTTACGTATGTCATTTTCATACTTGCAGTGCATCAAAGTTATTCCCATCCTTATTGTTACCTAGACTACTGAGCAGAAATAAAAGGCTTCTGCAAAGGACTCCAACTCCCAGCTTGAGAGTACAACTGCTGCTGTATATATTTGACATAAGAATCCAGATGAATTAACCTTATTACCCCCTATGTATGAACGGCTCTTTCTGTGACAACACACAGTCACTCACTCACGTATCATTAGAAGTTTGATGACTCAGCTATGGGTGTTGTGTTGGCCTGAGCCCAG